GTTGGTGAACAATGTTCTACTAAAAAACTAATATAGACAACCTAAGGAATAAAAATGGTAAAAAAAAGGACAAAGGATACAGAGTACATTACCAGTAGCACACCCAACCCTTAGTTTACACAATGTGTAAAAGTGTTATCCATGCCAATACAGACTGAGGTTAAAATGTCCCCTCTCTCTGAGTCGATCTCCAATCAGACCCCTTGATATTTGCTGTGGTTTTACTCCTCGACTTTGAAACTGTTGTCCTCTTTATTGAGATTCTCCAACATCTGCTGCCTCAACGCAACATTGATCCGAGAGATGAGACACGAAAAGAATGCGCCTAATTCGCAGCTTTGAAAAAAGCTTCTGGTGTCCCATCTTTCAAGACATTTGTGGAAGTGCAAGATTGTGCCAGTGTTACTCATCAGACCTGTTTTTTTTGAAAGGCTGTAACACTATAAACAGTGTCAGCATTGCTCTCTTCATGCTGTTGTAATGACCCAGTTGCTCTGTGCCTATGTTTATACTTTCGAGTTAGTTAAGCGAGTAAATCAAGCTCCAGGGGTGTTGTTACCTATATTTACTTTCCTCATATTGGTATTTCTGTTGGATGAGAGATGCTCACAGAGCAGCTGCTAGAGTGGTAAAAGACACTATAAAGCCCCATGAGACTCCTTCCCTATATCTGTCAGACTTCAACCTCAACCATCCCTACGCACACGCACGCGCACACACACACACACACACACACACACATTCACAGGGCATGCTATATATCATTCCTGATGTACACCATCTTCTATTTACATCAACACCTAATGAACTTGGCACTTACCTAAAGTGCACCACTAATTGTTTCACCAATAGTAAGATCCTATAAGCTATAGGTCACAATAAGAGAGCAGGTAAAAGAGTCTATTGGTTTTTTTTTTGTTTTTGCCTTTTAATTGCTCATCCTTTCTCAGTACACTATAATAGTCTGGTTTTACTGTTCGATTACCTCCAGAGAAGACACATGGCGATTATGAAACTTGATTGTTACAGTTGCAATTATACTATTCCCAAGATGTAGCTCTGTGAGCAATAGTAATAAAGATGTGATGCTTTTATTGATTTTAGTAGGAAATTCTGCTTGTATCTATCTTCCTATCTAAAGGAGGTAAAAGGTCATTTGCAGTATTGTGCCTTAGGGACAGAAGAGATGCATTGTCTAGGTCAAGGGCACTGAAGCAGAAACTGATGGTTGTAACCTGTGTCATCTGAGCCATTAAATGACACAATGTCACAGCTGGCTTTGCCGCTGTCCTACACGTTTAATTGCTTGATTACATTCAAACTATATTCTTTCTGCAGCTCTGTAAAATATGTTCATGTCAAAAATAAGCAGATCTGTTCTCTAAAGTATGCTACAATCTCAAAAATGACCTGATGCAACTAGCAGAAATGACTCAGACCAGGTTTAGGTTTGTCATTCTAACTAAGCTCTATGCTGTTGGATTTCTTTAGTTCTATGCTTTTCTTCCTTGAGAAGCTGTGACCTGTTTCTGTATTGAGTCTTCAGTCCTCTGCAGTGCATGAGTATCTCAGGTTTGGAAATATTCTCTTCAAAATAATTACAATGAGATTTGCAAGTAGCATAGTAGCAAGTAGTTAAAATGAGGGTTATTTTGCTTAGTAACCATATCACTTGTTCTTCATCAACCACTTATTCTCCAACAATTTGAATGTACAATTTTTGACAGACAAAACTTCAGTACTGCAAGGTCATTAATTATTGAGAGTGATGTTGCATAACGTAGAAAGACTAAAGGTGACCTATTTTGAAGACCTATTGTGAAGGTTGGGAGGTGAGGGTCTGTAGAATATGTCAGTTTAGTAGTGTTGAGAAACCAACTGCTGCTTCCTTGGTCGGGATGATGAATCATCATGAGAATAAGTGCGGCTATGATAATTACAAATTTTTAGTCTACGCTGACGCAGCAGGAAGGAACCACTGACCTGTTAGACCTTTCAGTTGCAATGAATGTAACACTGCACCTTTGAATACATAGTCTTACTATTGTATTGAACTTTTTATTTATTTATTGTAAGCTCTTTTTAACTTGCTTTTATTTAAATTTAAAATTGTGATTCAACTATTGCACTGCTGAGCTGACCGGTTTCATCTTGTCCAACACCTTTCAATTTACTGTTGACCCTGTGTCAACTGCATATGACAAATAAATCTTGAAACTTCTGCTGAAGAGCACAGTTTATTCCCAGCAGCTCCCAGACACAGACGCAGGTTAAGTTGATGCATGTTGACCCTGTGATATGTTCCCTGTATAGATGGCACCCAGTCAGAGAGCAGACGAGTAGATACAGACCAGTACATGGCATTGGGAGCAAATAGAACATCTAGCATATTTATATTATTAATACACTCAAGATAGGATTGAGTATTGATTTTGACAGGAGAGTTAATCTATCTGCTATTTCTTTTTTCATTTCCCTGGTGGGAGGAAATATAGATGACTGGTCAGTGAAACAGTCAATTAAAAGAAATTATTCAACACATAAATAACTGGCGGGCACAGATGAAGGAAATAGCCACCTCTGGTGTTGAGAGTGCCACCTTAAGTACACCCTTTCCTTAGAGGTGAATTATAATGAATTGATTTTTTTTCTGCAACACAGTTTATTAAAATTAATAAAAAGTGGAACTGAAATAAAGAATATAGTACAGTTGGTATATTTTGGCTTAATTTCTGGATAGTGGGAGGAGGTGGAGACGCTTTATATACAGTCTATGGTACAGATATGTCCCCATCACAGGTGTCAAGTGGGAAAGGTAATAAACATCAAACAAGTTTATTGAAAGTGATATAAACTCCCAGTTTTCATAGGAGAATTGTCTACAAATAAAACAGCTGTTTAATAAGCATGTATTCAACAATGTGGCCTAAATATTGCTACTAACCTCAAGTCTATTTTCATGTGTATCAAGTCTACACTACATTTATTTTTATCACAGGGGAACACTGTGAACTGAATCTCTGACAGCATCCCCCAGAATGATGCATAAAACAGTCATACAAAATGTTGTCACTGGGATGGCCTGCTCGGCTTCTCATGCTGCGGGGATGTCAGAGTAGCTCCAATTACCTCCGGCTACAGCGACACAGCTTGAGTCGGTAGAAAAATGCCCTGTGTCATTTCCTGTGCCGAAAGCAAAAATCAGCATATATAATAGAGTGAGGTCTCATGCTGTCATGGAGTGCTGGGCAATATTCATGTTTTCATTTCTACCCCTGAGAATATGAGGCGATTTTCACATGAGCTCCACCTCTGTGACTGATTGTGTGTTAATGAGAAAAATCACTGGATGCAGTCGCCAGTTAAAATGGTAACCTTCAGTCTCTGGCATGGGGTTGTCTCCACTTACACAGATGGAATATTAACTTTATGAACAAGGCACTGTTTTAACAAGGTAAATGTGACTGTCATTAATGCACACATACACTTTGTTGGTATATGCATCATTCTCACATTCCGGTTTTTTTTCACTTATCTGTGACAGTATCCCTCAGGGACGTGTGTGTACATGTGTGTGTGAAGCGTGTGTGTGTAATTCACTATAGTATAGTGAACTGCCTTTGTCTCGATTACCTTGCTCATTATTGGAGCAGGTTCAAACAGATGGGTACTCATCTGCATAGGTAGCCCTGGGGCTGGAGCCCCTATGTGTAGCAGCCAGGTGATTCATACCACCTCCTACCATCTTATTTTGAAGAGGATTAGATTAAAACAAATCAGTCAGCCCAGATCACACTGACCCATAGGAAAATGAGTCAGGTGACTGCAGGTTGGACCATCCAACATGTTTTTTGCTCCTGCAAATAGCCTTTTTGTCGTGCAGCCATCATGGCAACAATTAAGGGACTATATGAAATCTGAGACTGTTCACACAGTGAGGAGCAGACCAGCGTGAGCATTACAACTACAGTTAAATTATATTGTGTTATATAAAGCATGTGATCTATCTGTTATCATGTCCAACAAACAGTAGACAACAAAACTACATTTCATACAACTCTATTAGAGTATAAACACATTCATATGGAGTGGTTTGATTTTAATGGGTTTTGGCACTAAGCTATTTTGGTCAAATATCCAGCATTGTGTGTCACACTAAAACATTCAGCTATCACTTTACAGCCAATCATTCATGAAAGTGGCCCATGCAGCTCACCCAGGCCTCCTGCAGCTGTACTCTGATGGCCCCACTGGAGAGCTCACTTCCCTGCAATCCCTTGAGAACTATATGAAAGCATGAAGCAAAATTATGCAAGGCTAATGTCCTCTTTAGAGAAAATATGGTATAATATTTATAAACTCTTTACTTTCTACACACACCACTGGAGAGTGTAGATGTAGACACATAGATGTGCATGGTAATGCAGCTTTAATGGACTCACATGGGTATTCATATTAATATGTCAGAGACATAGTGTTATGTCAGCAAAGTGGAGACATTTTAAGGCTACATATCTCAGATATTTTCTGCTCATCTGAGGCAGTCTGCCCATCTAAGAGCACCGCTGCGTTTCCAAGTTGTCCTTATTTTCATTTCAATTTTAGCTGCAGTTTGATGCAGGAGCAACATTTTGTGTCTGTATGATTTAAAGCTGTAACCAGAAACTTCTGTAGGTTTCTGATAACTGAATGAAAAAGGTTTTTGGTTTGAATCCCAGTTTGGCTGGGCTCTTTCTGTGTAGAGTTTGCATATTCTCCTGTTGTTTGTCTCTGTATGTTGGCTCTGTCCAGATGAGCCCCTCCTTTCACCCAATGTCAGCTGGGATTGACAGCGGCCCACGTGACCCACGAAGAAAAAGTGTCATAATGGTTGGACAGATGAGGGCTCTTCAAGGTTTTGTGTGCACTAAACTCTGAAGCACACACAGAACAACAGTGTGATGAAACACTGTGATTATGTATATTCAACTTTGTCTCTTCCTTTGTCTTTGCTGTCACAGGAGAGGAAGCTATGTGCGTTCCCAATGATTGAGATCTGTGGTTCAGATGTCATCAACTACATGGTTCCACTCTCCCGCCAGACAGACTTCTTTGTTCCAGAGATGAAGGAGGAGGTCAAAACAGATGTGAAAGAAGAGGACTCTGACGAAGACAGAGGAACTGACATAACAGGTAATGTTTTGTTCAGTCCAAACACTTTTGTTACTGTTGAGCCCATCAACAAGAAAATAATAGCATCAACTGCCATAAGGCTGTGTTTAAGAACATAGTTCAAGATGATAAAAGAAGTATATTTTTCACTGAAAATTGAAGCTTAGAAAAAACTGATTTACAACATGGTAGTTGGTTTTTGTGTTATTTTGTTTAGTCATCTAATTGCAGTGTAATGAGGCACGGTGATAGAAACAGTTTTCTGCTTTGCTGGAACTCCAGCTTGTGTCAGCTACACACAAACCAAGAGGAAATATGTGGCAGGTTTTATATAGTTCAGGCGCTGCACTGACTCCCCTCCTGCACCTGATCACTGAGGACATAGGATATACAAGACTCTGATTGTTCTGTCACTGCAAGCATGTGTCTTCAAGCGCAATGCCCTCTTGCTGCAATTACTCTTTCAAACTTGCTGCACCTGTAGGTTGAGGCCCCTGGAAATATTAACTATGTCATTGTACAAATCACCAGAGAAAGTAAATGGCTCTGGGTTGATGGGACAGAGTGGGTGCAAGTGGGTTGATTTACATCAGATGCTGTCTTCCTCAAGCTTAGATCACAAGACATCTCTTGTAAACACAGCTTGGGTGTAGAGGACGTATCAGGAAGAGCATCTGACTTGAGCTGTGCATGTTAACAGCTTTTGGCATGTTTAGATTGCAGTCACCATCCAAGCAGAGTGGTGCCACCTATGACAGGTAAAGGCCATTCTCCAGGGAGATGCAGCACGATTGTCTGATGTAGATCCTCTGGCATTCTGCTGAACTGAGAGTCAAGGCTATTTGCAACTTTAAATTAGTTTGTCAGCATCAGCAGACCGAGACGAAGTTTAGATAAATTGCTTGCCTTTTCGCGAATGAGAAAGTCAGTAACTGGGAAACATTTCAGTAGTGTAATTCAGATAAAATTAAGCTGATCGTACATTGTGGGGATACTCGGCCCACTCTGGGTAAAGATGGGAGGAGAGAACGGTGTTTCGCTGTCCTTTTATTTGTTTACAAGCTTTTCCAGGCGAACACGTACAATTCATGTATTGAGCCTTTTCAGACGAACACACACACACACAC